GCATTCCTCTGTGTCAGTGAAAACAAACAGACACATTAAAAGCCCAGTTCCTGTCTGTTTCAGTCAATTCTCACTCAAAAGGAGCAATCTGAGCAAATTGTTCAGCCTCCACTTGAAGTGACCTGTTTCCCACCATCTGTGTGTAAACATCCTTTACTTTATCTTCAAGCTTCAAAACATGTACTGAATAATGTGTCCTTTGTAAGTTTGATAAAGGCCCAATTAATTAAAGATGAATCTGGATTCATCACCCCACAATCTCACCCATTCTAAGAGCTTGACTACTTCTCCCTTTTCCAAGAAATATCAGTAAAAAACTGTGTGCCTGTGTCCGCTGGTGAAGTTACTACGAATTTTGTCAATACTGTTTCTTTGCACAGCACATTTTAGAAGAACTTTCTCTTTAGAATTCAGAAAACACGGATATGCCATTCCATTTTCACATGTTGGGAATGTACGATTTTCAAGTGTTATTCTATATATTTCTGGTTGGTTTTGTTTAATTCCAGGACTCCTTTGTTGAGCAAAAATTTATTTGCATCAGTATATATCCCTCACTTCATTTACTTTTTCTCATTCAGGAGATGGGAAGCAGTGTAGCATAACGGGTAAGTCTTTAGATCCATGACTGGTGAGTTTAAGTACTTACTGCAGACACTGCTGCTGTATACCTTTAGGGTTATTGTACCCTGATTGCTCAGGTCCACCCAGCTGTATGAATGAGGACTGATATTTGCCTGAGTGAGGCTCTGTGATGAACTGGTGTCCCATCCAGTGGGGAACCACATGCTCTCTTTTACCTAATGACTCTAAGCTCTAGACTGATGGGCTGATGTGGCTCAAATATGGAGCTACCTTCTCCTTACCTATTCAGGATGTGATGTATTTTCCTCCTTGTGAACTGCAAAGACAGAGGAAACTGTAGCTTTTGCTCTATGAACCTCTAATTGGAAAATTAGACATAGACTGTTTTCGCAACACAGTCGGGGCAGTGCAGTGTCACTAAGATATTGAAAGAGAAGAACACAGAAGTCACAGTTTTGTTTCAAAAACTGGTTCCAATTGCAAACTGAGCTCCTAGGAAAATGATTGCTACACCTTAGCAAACAGCCAGGAGAATGAACTTCAATGTGAAGAGAAGTTGAACATGAACCAGATCTTGCAATGAAAAGTGACACACCACACACCTGGAGGAAATCATGCCGGGCGTGTGTAACAGTGTGTAACAGTGTGTAACAGTAATAATCCCAGAACCCCAGAGCACAGGGACTCAGGTGGAAACTCTATGGAAGTGCATTTAAAACTGAGAACAAGAGGCACTTCTTTATGAAAAAGGGTTGTGGGAATAATCATCTTGTTGACAGCCTGGCTTCCTTTGAGAAATCGCTGGATGAGATCATTGGAACTCCAAGCTACTAACTACCAAATGGGCCAGACGCCCCAAATGAAACTGTTCTTGGGATCTGCTTAAAATACAGTGGCCGTACAGGCAGAAGCCTATTTTACTCACTATCCTCGACAGTGTTTTGATTTACGCAGTTGTTTGCATACATCCTAGAGCAGGGAGGATGCAGAGCTGTCCATGCTTTTCAAGTATGATACAGGACAAGTGAAGCTCACTTGCAGTGCCCATGATGTCAGGCAGCTATTATGTGTATGGCTGCAATAAAGAACTCTCAGAAAGGTTATATCTAAGTATTTATTTAGGGTGAAAATGACCACTTTTCTTTCTGAACAGCATTTTTGATCACTTTTGATAAGTGTATCCAAGTATGAAATATTCTTCATTAGGCTTCATAGACCTGATTTCATTCTCTTAACTTTTCTGAGCAGTATTACTGATTACAGTGACATTGTCCCCTAAACCAGTTTTGTTCAACTTCCAGAGTTTTTTTTATCATTGTGGTTTTTATTTCCTTCTTACAGATAAATTCACAAAGTTTGATTGACAGAAAAATGGTAGACAAAAGGTACAAGGAGAAGAAAATTCATTTATTACACTTATTACACTTCATAATAACAACAATGCTATATTACAGAAGGTAATGTTTCAGTGAATTACTGAAAGTGCAAGTATTCAGGCAGTTCAAAGTTCAAAAGTGCGCAAACCAAAACAAATTGACACAGCTGCCTGGAGAAGATCTGAAGTGTTAATGTAATAAGAATGGATACACCCTTGAAATGTTCAGAAATCACCCGGTGGTCCTGTATTCAGAGTTTCTGAGGATTAATGATGCACATCAGCTACTCTCCTCCAGTATCAGGTAGATTCTGATTGTTGAAGCCATGTGAGATTGATGTGTATCTATCTCTTGATTGAAGGATAAAAGGGCTTGGCAAAATTAATGAGCTAATGAATCAGGTGTTTTACAGCGGACACCCCATAATAGAAATAGACATCCCAGAAAGTATAAGTCCACTTGCTTTGAATTTCAGACCAAGGGTTTTAGATAAGGCCTCTCATTACCTTAACAAAAAGCCTGCTGAATGCAAGAGTCTGAATGGCTTGTCAAATGGAAGAAACAGACATCCTTAAAGGCCGAGTCTGAAAAGGCGTCGCTCAGAAAGCTGTGTTGCACTCTATACAAAGCTGGAGATGCAGTGGTGAGTGGAAAAGGTTTTGTTTACTTCAAAATGCTGTCTGTTGACTCAAAAGCCCTGTTAGTGTGATGGCTGGCGATGGAGCAACAGCTCATCAATGATTTAACAGTTGTTTTTATATACAGATGTCTCCAAGCTTGGTTTCAGGAAATCTTCACTAAAACCTGCCCATGACCGAATAGAGCAGTGCTTTTGCAATAGTCCTAGTTGGAAATCCAAATGCATTTTTCTTGATAATAATATTAAACGTTTTACGGCCTTTATTTTTATAACTGCTCCCAGTATTGACTGTACTTCATTTGAAAAAATCCCTTGTATTACCAGCCTGGTTTGCCAAAAAGCCGATGCAACATTGAAGTGTCACAACTGAAATCTGAAGTAGCACAGAATCGCAATATCACAATGCTGAACTGGTCAACTATTTTTTCATTACCCTAACAGACTTTTTCTTGAAATAAGATGTGTCGGATACAGACAATTTGTTGGTAGAAATGATTTTGAAATGAATAATTTGTAAGACAAATCTGTGTGTATGATCTATTCTGATATCTTACGTGAATGTTACAAGGCAAAACAGGTGTACATTTTCTGTTAAAGTTAATTATAGAACAGAAACAAAATCCAGTCATTTTCTTCTTCTTTCATTTTTAGTGTAGTAAAAATGAGAATAGTACAAGTGTCATCCTTATGTTCACAGCAACATTGATTTCAGACATTTTCATGAGTAAACTAAACTCAGTGAAAGTTTGTCTTCATTTTGCACTCTGAACCCCAAATAAAGCCGTTAAACAACCTTGTAATTTATTACTGTGGAGCTTATTTTAATTAAAAAAAACAATTAAGAAACACCAGCAGCTGCATGGCTGGCAATGCCCATGCACTCCGAGACAGGAATCGGAGGTTAAATACAACTGAATCAAGACAGATTATCCCTGAGGAAGACGTTGCTCAGCTGATGGAGAGCAGCCAGCCTGTTACCCGAGAGCCGATCAGGAATGAGAACATGTGATCGGATCACTTAAATAAGGGATCTACTAAATCAATAACAAATTAATTTTGGGAATTTCTCCATTCATTTACAAATTTCATTTTTACACACTATACTTGCTTTATATGTCTGCTACCTCTCTCGTCCTCACACCTGAAAAAGGCTCAACAGCTGAAACCTTTACTTGTTGACCCAGATACTGTATCTGCTCGAAGCTCTGTTAAACCCTTGTACCAAACCCAGACTTCATTCACTGCTTTTTCTTCCACTTGACATGCAGGGCCTATAAATCCTGAAATATTTACATGGAAATAACATGTAAATGACAAATAAAATGCCTGGTGCTTCATAGATACATCCCACAGCCGAAACAGAAGACCCCTGAAAGATCAAATGCATAACAGCAGGTAGGTATTGAGGCACACTCGATATAGGAAGTAGAAGACAGAATATGATACCAAACAGGGATTGAAAACATAATAAACTTAAGTGTCATTTACTGATACAAGGATGTATAGGATACAAGGGATGCTTACGCGTGTTTTCTTCATATTTCCACTCTTTCTTATGTGCACAGCCTTCATATAAAATGTTTAGGGCATGATATATATCTTCTGTAGAAATACAGTATGTTGCAGTATCATTACATTGCTTGTGGAAAAAGAGAAGGAGAGGTGTGCTTCAGCGTGTTTAGTTAATAAGAGCTGTGCTAGACCGGTACATACAGTTGCCAAATCCTGGATCTTTATTGACTAATCTTCTCTCATCAGCTTCATTGTCTTTACAGCACTCGAAGTCCTGAGTACACTGCTGCCGAATAAGCTGCCATTAAACATACAGTGTTTGCTTAGATCAGTCCAAGGCCAAAAAGCAGCAGCCATCGGCAGATCTAAAGAGCATAAATACAGTTAACCCATTGCCCAGATTCACTGTTTCAGTACAGACAAGGGACTCAATATGCATGGAAAAAAATTGTTAAATTAATAATAAGAACTTAAAAATCTGCTCTGGTACGTATTTTTATCTTTGGTATTTCGGCATTTCGTCCTTCAGTATTGCTGAATCTAATACTTTAACTGGAAATTAATAATTAATTAGTTTATTTTATTAGCAATAAAAACAAATTCACGCTTGACTGCGATTGAATCATGTGGGAGAAACTTTTTCATCATTTCATCATATTTTATTATAAAGGCTTCCAAAGCTCTTTATCTGAAGGAGAGCACCCCCTCCTGGGTGACATGTGGCAGCCATTCAGAATGGACCTCAGTCAAGGAACCACGATCAATACGATCATATGAATAGTGCGCTGGGATCTTTAATGACCAATGAGGCAGAACGTGTTGAATGATGGTACAAAGTACAGCACAGTGAGAATATCGCCCCCTACTGGTCCACCAACACCACTTATTCAACAAGCAGGCTTTTGTTAGTACAGACCAGGCCCAGCCTTGCTTAGTTTCTGTGAGTGGATGAGATAAGCCTACAAGGTAGGAATGCTACTGCTATGAAGCAGCACACCAAACAGAGAAAAGGTTTCATTCAGTCCTTCATATGTTACTCAAGAACAAAAAAAAAAATGTAGTTCTTAATTTACATTTCACTTGAGAATTAGCTTGGAGCAACTGCTATATACTTGACCATTTGCTTGTATCTCTTGTGTCTTAACCTGTGACCTGCACAAGAAAACATGACATATCATGTGGTTTTATGATTTTCATCTTATGGACATCTTATTTAACAGAAACCTTTTGACAGAACCTTTTTTACCAGAACGTCTAAAATGTTCTTATATCACGTGTCTTCTCCATTACATAAATACTCCAGTGCTGCCCACAACTCATCTGACCTGCACATCTCTTCAATTTCCCCTCCTTCACCCAAGCTTCAGCCTCACAGCAGCTCCCTGGCTCATTCCTCATGGCGAGGGGGTTATGAGAGCGCTGATCTTTGGCCAGTTCTGTTAAAGGAGGGTTAACTCTCAAGTATGAGCTGCTCTATCCCCCTGGATTTGTCATGTTAGTATCAGAATGGGATTGAACTACAGAGAAGTTACACATTGATGTAAGCTGTGAAGAGGGGGACACCCTGGATAAAGTTTAGAACTCCATTTTCGATAAATCTGACAACAATGGCCCAACCTATATTTACCAGTAGGGGGGAAATATAATATTAAACTTAGTTTCAAAAACATAAAATCCAGAACAGTGCAAACTTATGAGCATGACCAATTCCACACTTACTGAGCCGTCTGCCACTGGACTGGAGGTGCTGAAACCACAGGAAGGCCTTAGGAAAGCTAAGTCCTTGTTTTTTAACTTTACTTAAACACTATTAAAGGTTTCATCCTGCATGGCATATTGATAGAAGTGTAATTATACTAGTTATAACCATTACATACAAATATAAATAAAATGCTTTGGTCAAATTTTCATTCAAAATTCTATTAGGGTTTGCTATGTGGTGGAGGTAAGGATCCCCATTACTTGTAAAGCGCTTTGAGTGGAGTGTCCAGAAAAGCGCTATATAAGTGTAAGCAATTATTATTATTATTATTATTATTATTATTATTATTATTATTATTATTATTTTTAAAAAAAAACTAAATCCAGGATGTGGAAAGTAGTGGACAGTTCATTTTGTTATGGGTCATTCCAGACTTTGATACTGTTACAATAGGATGAATTCCTTGTTAAAAAGTTTGGCTGCCTTTTAAACACGAGGAGCTGGCTGGGGGAATGCAGCTGCTGATCTACAGTGGGGCTTTACTGAAAAAAAACGGAGAGTTTAATAAATAACCACTGGCCTCTTTCTCCCTGACCCTAGACAGTCGCAGTGGAGCCTTGGGCTGGAACAAATGTTCCTAGTGGTAAATACTGATAGTATTAAAACAATGAGGACAGCCAGAGCCCAGTGTGGAGCAGCACACCACAGGATTTCCAAAGCAGGCAACCACCAAGGGAAGGTAATGTCTACTCTCTGAAACTCTGAAAGGTAAAACTGCTGCTGGAATAGTCCCAGCCGGTGTAGCATGCAATCTGGAGCCCCATGTGGCATTTTAAGGGTTGTATTTAATTTGATGTGGCAGTCTATTGAACACTGTAATGTGATTTAAAAAAAAACTAATTTGGAGATGAATGACTGCTGAGCCATATTTTAACTGTGCCATAACATTTTTTTTAGGTCATGCACTTTGATTTATGTTTATTATGATTTCCTGCTTGATGGAACTGTATTTTGCTGAGATGCCATACACTAATAACTCAATATTTCATAAATCATCACTTGACTGAAGCAGAACGCTAATGGCAGAGAATCACATGGGCTAGTAGGACATGTAATGCTTAATGTTCATATCATGGAGGTTTAAGGTGATACAAACAGATGTGGTGCATACAGTAAGTTCTGTTTCTGTAGAAATGTTGGTAATTTAGTCTGATTTCGATTTAGAAATACTGTACACTGCACTGTGTAATGTATACAAAAATATCCATCCATCCATTTTTCTAATTGCTTTATCCAAGGGTAGCCGGGCAATCAGAGACTACCCTGGGGAAGCAACAGATAAAGGCAGGCAAAACATACTTAAATACTGTACATTGTAAGAAATATCATAACATAACTTTATTAACCCTATACAATTTCTTCCTGAATTAGGAATTTGCCTTTTTGCATACCTAGCTTGCTCTCCATGAGACACAGACAGGGAGAGAAGCTTGGGGTCAGAGCACAGAGTCAACTGTTGTACAGCACCCCTGGAGCAGCTGGGGTTAAGGGCCTTGCTCAGGGGCCCAACAGAGTAGCCAGCTGCAGGATTTGAACCGGCAACCTTCCAGCCACAGGCACAGATCCTTAGCCACAGAGCCACCACTCTGCACATAAATGTGTTTAGGTATACAGTATAGTATACAGTTCAATACAGTATAGATTTCAAATACAGACATTCATTTCAAAATGCATTCCAAAGAAAAAAAAACATCTGCTCACAATTTCAGTTCAACTGAGAAGCTAACCATTATTAAGAAGCAAAATGAAAGTAAAAGGTCTGTGGACCAGTATTTACCTCTCCGGTACAGTAGCCTCAGCATTTACTGTACTCGCTGTAAATTGAAATACTAATAAATGATATAAGGGGTATCTCTAGAAATGTGATCAACTGTAACATATTTCCAAATTTCTAGAGATACCCTTTGTATATCTGTTGTATTAGAACTGACTCTTATTCAGAGATGACTTTTATTCTTCATGGTTACTAACTGAACCTAAACAAATTTCTTCAGAACAACTGAACATAATGTACCAGGTGTTACTCTTGTTACTCATATGGGAACTATATACCTGTATAGAATGTACTCAGAGGAGCTTTCATAATAAGTATGTTTATTCGAGTGAGGGTACTTATGAATGGGGTATGTAATTCAACAGGGGACCCATGCATGCTTTCATATACAGATTAATACTATGCAGTAGAGACGTCTTAAACACAAGTACAGCTCCTCTGACAAATCCCATTAAACTCCTATTACCTGCATGTGTGTTAAGGCTTCATGGTGTACAAGATACTGCATGTGATAAAAGAAACTACAAAAGTTAATACTCTTGTACTGCTAATGAGATGCAAATGATACGGTATATTGAGATTTTCAGAAGGTTTTGGATTAGGTTCCTCACAAAAGATGAATTCTCAAAATTGCAGATTATAGGAATTCAAGCTAATCCATATGCCGGGGCCCTGTGTTCACTTCCTGGGGTGCTAACTGTGTGGAGTTTGCATGTTCTCAGTGTGTTGGCATGGGATTCCTCCACATTCTCAGTTTCAAAGACATACCAGCAGGTCAACTGTTGTTGTTGTTTTTTTTAGAAAACTGGCCATGGTGTGAGTGTGTGTGTCTCTGTGTGTCTGTACCCTGCGATGGACTGGCGTCCTGTTCAGGGTGTGTCCTGCCTTGTGACAACTGCGTGACCAAACAGGCACCAGCTTCCTTGAGGCTCTGTATTGGATAAAGCAGTTAGGAACCACATGGATGGACTGACAATTTGGCTCAATTGAGCATTGAATGATCTGCTTCAAATTCCTTTTAGTAGTCAATTTTTCAGTAATGGTCATTATGGCAAAAGACAAGGACCCTGACAGACTAAAAAACTTAATGCTTTTTGGTTTTAAACAGAGACGTCTATAAGGAGACCTAATTCAAGTAATTCCCATCCTTAAAGACATTAACAAAATCAATTCGATTGACATTTTCAGAATAAACAGCAAAACAGGAAATGGATAAAAGAAAATTGAAAAAGGAAATTAGAAGGGCTTTTAAAACTGAGAACAGGAAACATGTCTTTACACAAAGGGTTGTGGGTGTGTGGAACAAATGATTTGGCTGTGCTGTCAAAGCCA